TAAGATTTTTTTTTTTTAACCTGTTTTTCATCTGTTACTTTCTTTTGAAACTTTTTTTTTCCTTTTTGACTTCTGAATGTTCCTTTTCAGTTTCTTGTCCCAGCTGATAAGAAAGATGCTGGTAAAGTTTCATAACCTTTATACAAGTTATAAGCAAGCAGTGTTCATAAATACTGCAGTTCTCCAGTTAAAATACTCACCATTTTCAGATAAAAAAACCAGCCCTTTCCCTGTAGGCTTAGAATTCATTTTGGAACTTCTGTCATCCCAGAGAGGTTTCTTGGTCTGAGGCTTTTGCATTTAAAAAAAGCAAAATAGTCTACATCATTATGGATTAAAACTATTTTTTTTACATTATAAGTAATTAGAAAATAGAGGCCTTCCCCTTTGAGCTAATTGAACTACTTTTTTTGTTTGTTTGTTTGTTTTTGTTTTTCTCCGGTACCAGGAACCGAACTCGAACTCATGACCTTGCGCTTGCCAGGCAGGCACTTTTGCCACTGAGCTAAATCCCCAGCCCCTAATTGAACTACTTTTAACCTGCATAAAATATTGAGATTTGTGTTACTACAGAGAGAAATAAGTTACTGCATCTACTGAGAGGCTCTGTACCCCCACCAAGAAAACAAAGACAAAAACAAAGATTTAAAGATCGCCCCCTGGGTCTGCCCGGAGATCATTATTATATATGACAAACCAAGCGTAGAGTCATATATTCATGGTTTCATGATCATATTTATGCTGTGGCTCCCACTGTCACCAGCTGGAGCTCACCCTGACTGCAGCCCTGCCCCCCGCCTGGCCACTTCCCGTCACCACTCAGGGTCTCCTTGGCCATCTCTTGCACGCCCACACTCTGCCCCTTAATTCTGCCCCCAAGCCTCACCCCTGTCCCTACCCCGGCCCATCCCCATCCCAGTACATAGCAGCTCTGTTTCCCTGGTTCCTCAAGACCAACATTTCAGCCTCACCTTTGTGCCTTCCCTCTCCTTCTCACGCCACCTTCCAAAGCCGGGCCCTGAGGCCGCCTCCCCACCTCGGCCTCAGTCACCATCACCTCCAACCAGGATGGTTACAAGAGCTCCCTGACCAGTTAGTGCCCAGGGAAGCCCCGGAAGCCGCTTCCCTCCGTCTGTCCTGGGATCAGCCACACGCCCTTCCTGTCACTCCCACCTCCCGAGTGTGAAGAGTCTGGCATGTGTTCGCAGGCGCCACCCCGGAGTCACACTGCCTGGCACCGACCCCCAGCTCCGACACTCACTGGCTGTGTGACCCCGGGCACTGAGGGAACCACTCTGAGCTGCAGAGTTCCCAGGGCATTCAGTGAGCCGATACCTGCCTGGCTGCTGGCAAAGCCCCACTAAACGTGAGCTGCTGCCGTTCGCTTACCACACTCCCCACTTCATCAGCGTGCGAAGTCCACGTGAGGCGGCCTTATGTCTCCTGCGGCCCCACAGCTGCACAAGAGCTCGCTCTTCTTCGTTTATGTTTTGTTTTGTTTTTTAGTGGTGCTGGGGGATCGAACCTAGGCCCTTCGCATTGAGCTACATCCCCAGCCCTTTTCCGTTTTGAGACAGAACCTCACTAAATTACCCACGCTGGGCTCCAACTCGGCAACCCTGTTTTAGCCTCCCAAAGTCCCGGTATTACAAACCTGCACCATCACGCCATGCAGAAGAGCTCTCTCGACACGATAGATTCGTGATCGTGCTCACCGCTCACCACTACAACTGTGGCGTGTAACTGACATGACAAGCTATAAATACAAACCTCAGATTTCCCTGTTTTAAAATCAGACGAGAGTCCTAACTTGCTCGAAGAAGACTGGGTGCAGGTGTAGTGAATGATGTCCGACTCCTGGCTTCTGACTGCAGTTGGACTCCTGTTGTGGGGGTTCTAGGCAAGGACAAGCACAGAGCATGAGTCTGCCTTCCACAGAGGTACATACGTGTCTATGCACAGACACGCATTTCTTTAGTGAAGTATAATTGATGTAAAGTAAACTACACCACGCATTTCTTTAGTGAAGTATAATTGATGTAAAGTAAACTACACATGAAACATACTGTTCGGTGACCTTTGATATGTCTACACTTGTGAAATCATCACTTCAGCCAAGACGGTGAACACAGCCAGGGATGGTAGTGTTTCACCTATGACCCCAGCACTCAGAGAGGCTGTGGCAGGAGGGTCTCAAGTTTGAACCCAGCCTGGGCAACTCAGTGAGACCGTGTCTCCAAAAATAGAAAGCGTTGGGGTGTCACTTAGTCCAAAGACCCGAAGTTCAGTCCTCAGTACCACACACACAAAAATACAGTAAGCGAGTCACCTTCCCTACCGCATGCCCAGGTAAGCACTGACTTGCTTTTCATCGGTACACATTCTTCTGCAGTTTCCAGGATTTTATAAAACTGTGATCATGCACTACACACCCTTTCTTGTCTGGATTCTTTCACCCAGCATAACTGTTTTTAGCTTCACCCATGTGTTGTGCAGGAATCACGGGTGACTTTCTTACTGAGCTGTCCTCCCCTGTATGGACACAATACGATCTCTTCAGCTTGGTGGGCTGTGTGCAGATTGATGACGATTTGTTTTGTGACCCAGGATAGGGCCTATCGTGGTAAATATTTCATGTATACTGGAAAATAGTGAGGATTCCACTGCTGGCATTTAGATAAGGTTGCTTCATAGTGGTTTTTTTGGTTTGTTTGTTTTTAGTCTTTTTGAGACAGGGTCTCACTATGCAGTTCAGGCTGGCCTTGTTTTTTTTTTTTTTTTGGTTTTTCTCTGGTACCGGGAACCGAACACACGACCTTGCGCTTGCCAGGCAGGCGCTTTTGCCGCTGAGCTAAATCCCCAGCTCCCCAGGCTGGCCTTGAACTCACTTTGTAGCTTAGGCTGGTTTTCGAACGATCCTCCTGCCTCAGCCTCCCAGTTGCTGGGATTACAGGTATGCGCCACCACCCCCGGCTTCACAGTGTTATTTAAATCTGATGTTTACTGATAGTCCACCTTCTTGCTCTATTGTTTATGGAGAGCAGGGTTGAATCTGTAATTATGGATTTGTCTATTTTCTCTTCCATCTTATCAGTTTCCACATGTACTTTGAAGCTTACCCAGTTAGGTTTATATCCTTTTACTTAACTAAGCACTTTATCGCCATGAAATGACACCCTGTCCCTGTAGTATCCTTTATTGAGACCTTTTTTTGCCCAATATGTATCGATGATGTGTGCTAGAGCACTTTCTATACTTTTTTCACCAGCTTTTGTTTTTATATTTGAAGGGTTTTTTTTGTTTTTTGTTTTTTGTTTTTTATTATTTTCTTTTTTGGTACCGGGAATCAAACTCAGGGCCTCACACTTGCCAGGTAGGCGGCAGCCTACCTGAGCTACATCCTGAGCTACATCCCCAGCCCTGTTTTTATATTTGAAATGGGTTCAGCCTCCTGAGCTACATCCCCAGCCCTGTTTTTATATTTGAAATGGGTTCAGCCTCCTGAGCTACATCCCCAGCCCTATTTTTATATTTGAAATGAGTTCACTGTAAACATTTTTATAAGTTTTTATTTTTAAAAAATCAGACAACCTATGCTTTATTTGGGATGTGTACATCATTTCCATTTAAAGCCTTTGGGCTGTTCTCATCCTTCATCATATGTTATAAACCTCATAAACACTGTTATCCTTACATTAAACAATAAACTATCTTTTAAAGACTTTTTAAAAATTTAAGCCAAGCATGGCAGCATACAACTCTAATCCCAGCACTCTGGGAGGCTGAGGCAGGAGGACTGCAAGTCTGAGCTCACTTGAGGAAGCTTAGCAAGTTAGTGAGACCCTGTCTCAAGATAAAAAACAAAAAAAGATAGGGGTTGTAGTTCAGTGTGAAAGCCCAGTACCACAAAAAGTTTAATTTTACCTACAAAGTTACTATCCCATGTTCCTCTTTCCTTTCCATGGATCTAGATTTCCATCCAGGGACATTTTCCTTTTGCTTGAAAGACTTCCTTTACTGTCCCTTATTGTGGCTGCTCTTCTGCTACTGAATTCTTTCAGCTTTTGAATGTTTGGGAATTCTTTATCTCGTCTTTTTTTTTTCTTTTTTCTTTTTCTTTTTTGAGACAGGGTCTCGCTATGCAGTCCACACTGGCCTTGAGCTCACTTTGTAGTCCAGGCTGGTCTCAAACTCGCAAAGATCCTCCTGCCTCTCAAGTGCTGGGATTACAGGCGTGCGCCACCACGCCCCGCTCCATCCTCAGTCTTTGGTGTGTGTACGTAGTACTGGGGATCAAACCCATGGAGTGCTGAGTTACATCTCCAGTGCTTTCTTTTCCCAGCCTTCAAAGCTACAGTTATTCAATGTTTAATTTTTATTCTTATCAGTACATGTTTGCAGTTCACAACTTGGCCCTTTTATTATTCTATTTTGAGACAGGGTCTTACTAACTTGCCCAGGCTGGCCTTGAACTTTGATCCTCCTGCCTCAGCCAGGATGTAGCTGGGATTACAAGAGTGCACCTGCCTGCATGCCTGGCTTTTCATTTTATTACACTGTGGCAAAATTTACCATCTTAACCATATTTAGTCTCACAGTTCTGTGGCATTGAGCACATTCATAGTTGTGTAATCACCATCTGTTGCAGTGAGCGACCGCAGGTGGCAGAGAGGATGAGAAAGATTGTTAGGAGATGACACTTGGTTCAGTCACCAAGAGGCCCAGAGGACCTGTTCTAAACCAAGAGCACCCAGCCATCAGGGAGACTGTGGAGAAGAAAAGCCACCACGCTGAGAAAGTTTGGCTTTTATTTAGAATGTCAGTGTAAGAGAAGGAAGCCGGAGAAAAGCAGCTTGGGCCCAGGGCTGTCTCAAGGTGTATCAGTCAGGGTTAACTAGAGAAACAGTTATAACACAAGATATAGAAATGTACAAGAAAGTGTAAGTTTGGCTTACAATGGTCAACCACAGAGTTGGATGAGGAAGCATGCAGAGGGTGTCTGCCGGCTGGAGATTGAAGAGCCCAGTCTAAGGCCTGGAGCTCACTGCGGTGTCTCTAAGTTTGTATCAGGAGGCTGATGCGTCTGTGACGGAATGTTGAAGAATCTACGACGAAGGCCAAAACTCTACTCTAGAAGGCTGGAGTCCCAGGCAGAAGCCAAACAGTCTGCACCAGAAGCCAGGAGATGACCAAGCTGAAGGCGAAGAGTGGCGCTCCTCCAAAGAACCAGCAATCAGTCCTTTCTCATTTTCCTTTTATTGTGTGCAGCCTATCCACCGAGGGGGTGGTCCTGCACACCCACACCATCTCCAGGCCCTCCTCTGGCACAGGCTCAGGGTGAATACAAAGTATGAACCCTGGCTCCCTGCTGAGTCACACAGTTAACCTCCTAAACTTCTCAAATGACACAATGAACAACATCCTAGAAAGGTAAGAGGCATCCTTTCCACCCCAGAATGTAGAACTGCTGAGTCACTTAGTTAAGCTTCTAGACTCAAGTTGACACAATATGTCAACCATAACACAAGGCTAAGCAGCTTTTTTGGGGAAAGGGGCCCGACAGTGGCCGGATGCAACATGCTTCACTAATCTACCCTTCGTGTTTAACCACTTGATTCTTGCCCAGCCTGTGTGCTTTTGTCCCCCAGTTTAATTATCCACCTCTCATAGAACCTGCAGGATTTTTGCCTCATGCTTTAATTATTTGCACGCTTCTCCCCCGCCGCTGAACCATTCATTCCTGGCCAAGTCCCCTAAAACTGTCAGCATCCATCTGCAGGACTCTTTTGATCTTGCCGAACCAAAACTCTGTTAAACAATAACTCCCTGTTTTTCCTCCCCATCTTTCTACTTTCTATCCCTATGAATTTCACTATTCTAGGTACCTCATACAAGTGGAATCATAGTGCTGTCCTTTTGTGACTGGTTTATACCATTTACCATCAATGTCCCCACGTTCATTCAGGTTGAAGCATGTGTCAAAATTTTTTCCTAAGGCGCAGTAACATTCCATTACGTGTATATACCACATTTTGCTTATCCCATGCACTTGTATGGCCGTCAGTGATGCTTCCATATTTTAGCTATTGTGACTGACTGCTGCAGTGACCATGGGTGTATAGATTACCCTTCAAGACCCTACTTTCAGTTCTTTGGGGTGTACAGTGGTACCTTGGTTCACAAACTTAATTTGTTCCACGATTCTGGAAAAGATGGCCGCAGTCATGTTCATCACCTGATGAAGAGTTCACAAACAAACACAAAATTTCGCCAGGTACTTCCGTTTGTAAACCACACTATTCACAAAAGCATTCTTGAACTGGGGTACTACTGTATAGCCAAAGGCAGAGCTGCTGTTTGCATGGGGCACTTTTCTATCACTAAGCGAAACACTGGACACCTGCAACTTAAAGGAGAGCTTGTTTTGGCTCATGGCTTCAAAGGGTTCAGTCAGCTGGCTCCATGGCGGAGACGGCACGATAAGGGCGTGACAGAGGAGAGCTGCTCACCCTGTGGCAGCCAGGAAGCAGAGAGGGAGGGAGGAGCCGGAGACGGTACAGCCTTGCCGCTCCCGGCCCCCAGTGATCACCTCCAACCAGGCCTCAACCCTAACAGCACCTTCAGCTCTGAACTCATTAGTGGATGAATCAGTGTTGAGTACAGCACCCCCATGCTGCAGTCACCTCTGAACACATGGGACTTCGGGGGACATTTCAGATCTCACCCTTATCACTGTTTTCCACCAAGCCTGAACCATTTTACATTCCCCATAGCTGTACACAAAGATTCCAGTTTCCCTACCCCCTCACCAACGCTTACATTCTGTTGTTGTTGTAGTAGCCCTGCTACCAGGCGTGAGACACTCTCACTGTGCTTTTGATTTGCATTTCCGAGTGACTAGTGATGCTGAGCATCTTTCCACGTGTTCATGGGCCGTCTGTGTGCTTTCTTTGGAGAAATGTGTATTCAGGATGTCTGCTCATTTTTTTTTTTTTTTTCTGGTACTGGTGATCGAACTCACGACCTTGCACTTGCCAGGCAGGTGCTTGTGCCACTGAGCTAGATCCCCAGCCCTGTCTGCTCATTTTTAATTGGGCTGGTTTGCTGTTGAGTTTTGGGAGTGCTCTGTGTGTTCTGTGCCTTAATCCTTATCAGACACATGGTCTCCTACACCATCAGCTGACAGTGCCCTTTGATGCAGAGTTTTTATTGAAGACCACTTATAGGGTAACTTTGACTTCTGTAAAGTAGTCAGTCTGATAGTGTCCTTACACTGTGCAGGACTCCCTTTATGATCTCATGCAGGATAGGCCTAGAGGGAAATCATTCCCCACTTCTTATCCGTGATATCTTCATTTCTCCCTAACTTTTAAAGGTCATTTTTGCTGAATATAGGAATTTGGGGCAACAGGGTCTTTTTCTTTTAGTATTTTAAATCTATCAGTGTACCATTGTCTGGCCTTCAAAGTCTCTGATAAGAAATCTGATAATCTTTTTTTTTGGCACCAGGAATCAAATGCTTAGCTTTACTCTTGCCAGTCAAGCACTGTGCCTCTGAGCTACCACCCTGGCAATCTTTTTGTTTTTTACATGCACTAGGAATTGAGCTCAGGGCTTTTGCACTTAGCTATATCCTTGGGCCTGTGGGTTTGTTTGTTTGTTTGTCCCCAACCCCACCGCCAGGCCGGTGTTTTGAGAGTCTTGTTAAATTACTACATAGCTTAGACTATGCTTGAACTTGCAGTCTTCCTGCTTCAGCCTCCCAGAGTACTGGGATTACAAGCTTGTGCCACCACCCCTGGACTTGAAATCTGGCAGTCTTACTACAAGTCCTTTGTATGTGACAAGTCATTTCTCTCTTGATGCTTTCAGGATTCTCTTTGCCTTTCAACAACTTAATTATAATATGCCTTAGTATGGGTCTTTGAGTTCATCCTGCTTGAAGTTTGCTGAATTTCTTGGGTGTTTATTTATATTCACGTCTTTTGTTAAAATGTGGGAAGTTTTCTTTTTTTTTTTTTTTTTTTCAAATAATCTCTGCTCTTTTCACTCACTCATCTTCTAGGACTCCCATAAGTCATCCACTTGGTGGTGTTCCCTACGTCCCTTAGGTTCTGTTACAGTTTTTTCATTCCTTTTTCTTTCTATTCCTCAGACTTATCATTTCATTTGTCTTAATTTCAAGTTGACTGATTTTTTTTTCTAGTTCTGGTGGTGGAAGCCAGGGCCTCACCACTCTACCACTGAGCTGTACCCCAACCCAATTTCACTAATCCTTCAGCTTGTTCAAATCTGCCTGTGAAGCACACTGGTGATTTTTCTTCCCCTTTCAGTTCTTGTACTTTTTAGCTCTAGCATTTTTCTGGATCTTTGTTGATACTTCCACTCTGTATATACATTACTTTCTTGACTTTCTCTACATCTTCCTTTAGCACCCCCAGTGTCTCAGAGACTTCTGTTTGAAAGTCTTGTAAGTCTGCCATCGTGTTTTCTCTTGGTTCACCTTTTCCTTTCAATGAAACATACTTCCCTGTTTCTTTGTGTGTCTCTTTTTTTAACTGAATATTTGAACCTAGTAATGCAGCAACTCTAAATCAGCTTCTCTCCTCCCAGAATTTGCTGGGGTTTGTTGGCTTTCCTTTGGCTTCCTATAGGCTGTTGCTATGCTGAGGATGAGCCTGTGGTACAAACTGAAGGTCACCCCAGGCCCTTTGATCTTCCTCTTTTTCTGGGCATTTTGATTTTCCCCATATATGTAACTACTTTTGAATGCCTTAGTCCTTAGTGTCTGGCTGCCCAAAATAGGCAAAAGAAAAAAATGAAAAGTGTGGGAGAGTGCTGGCCTTTTCAATGCCCTGGAAGTTACAACAGCCAAAAGCTGGGGGTGTGTGCAAAAAGGGGGTAGCGGGTACACTAGTAGCTGCCTGCCTCTGTATTTGCACCTCTGTGATTATAAGCAGAAATTGGGGGTCAGAAAGCAGACCCAAATATTTGGAGGACAGGGTCCTGCTGCCTCCCCTTGCTCCCAGACCCTGCTCTGACACCTGAGCTGAGAGCTAGGACTGACCTAAATTTACTTTCTAAACTCACCTCCAGATGTTGCAGGCCTTCAAGAGACCCCAGAGTTCCAAAGAGTTGGGTCAGATTCTGCTGGCAATTCTGTTCCCTAGGAGGGTAGATTACAGGCGTGTCCAACTGCATCTCTCCAGAATCCACTTGCTGCACTTTCATTTTCTTGAAATGTATTTTTGCTAGGTATTAAATTCCAGGTTGACAGTTTGTTTTGTCTCCCAGTGTTTTCAAGATATGACTCCACTAGAATAAGAAATCTGTCCCTCTGTACATTTTAGGTCTTTATCTCTGGCTGCTTTTAAGAGAGTCTCTTTATCACTGTTTTAAAGCAATTTCATTATGATGTGCTTTGATGCAGTTTTCATATTTCTTCTCTTAGGATTTGTTGAGCTCCTGGATCTGCAGGTCTGTGGTTTCCATAAATTTTGAAAATTTTTGGACATTATTTCTTCAAGTAACTTTTCTGTTTTCTCCCTCCTGCTAGGATATACCCACAATAGGTGCTCAATTTATACTGGGTTATATCCCAAAGTTGAAACTAAGTCAACAGTGCATGTAATGCACCTAACCTACCAAACATCACTGCTTCACCTGTGCCACCTGAAACATGCTCAGACCACTTACTTGAACCTATAGTTGGGCAGAATCAGCTAACACCAAGCCTTTGGTAAGGAAGCACTGGCTGTCATGTCCTGTTGAACGCAGTACATGTAGAGTACAGCACTGAATGTCTACCCTCACGATCACGTGGCTGAATGGGATCAGTCATGGGCTAGCATGAGAGAGTCATGCATAAAAATTCAAAGCGTTTCTACTGAATGCATATCACTTTTGCAGCATGGGAAAGTAAAAAAATTGTGAGTTGAACCATTGTAAGCCAGGAACTGTGATAGGCTGCTGAAAATCTTTCAGCCCACTGATGCTTCATTTTTTTTGGGGGGGGGGGTTTCCCCTCTGTGTACTTTGCTTTTGGATTATTGCTATTATTATATCTTGAAGTTTACTAATCTTTTTTCTTGTGGAGTCTAATAAGTTTATTCTATCTGGAATGGTTTTCATCATTGTCTGTCCTTAACATATTCATGATTTCCTTGATCTTCTTGAACACATGGACTGTATCTGTAAGAAGAACTTGCCTGTTCTTTCTATCATCCATCTATCATCCATGTCATTTCTTGGTTTCAGTTGACTGAATCTGACTGACTGTATTTTGCTGCTTTACCTACCAGATAATTTGGGGGGGCAGGTTGTGTGTGGTTTTGGGTTTTTGGTTTTTTTTTTTTTTTTTGTCTTTTTGAGACAGGGTCTCCCTGTACAGTTCAGGCTGGCCTTGAGATCACTTTGTAGCCCAGGCTGGTCTCGAACTCATGATCTTCCTGCCTCAGCCTCCCCAGTGCTGGGACTACAGGCGTTCACCACCACATACAGTAACTACCTGATAATTTTGACTAAATGTTAGACATTGTATATTTCACACTGTTGTGTACCAGAAAATTTGGACATTCCTTCCAGAATCTTTTTGCTTTGATCAGAAATACAGCAGTTA